ATCTTACGCACAGACTGCCTTAAGGCAAGACATTTTCGCATGACGCGGGTCTTATTAGAGCACTTGCTTACTTGAGGTTTCCATCAGGAGAAACAGGCTGTTTGAGGGGAGGAATGTCCCGAGATACTGATCAATCAATATTCACCGCCATCTACATGCGGTGCACTCGCCAAAGTACAGCTGCGAACAGAGGTACACTTGGCAAAATTCAGTGTTATTTCGACACAACATGAATCTTGAGAGTGGTTCAGATATCGGAATACCTTGTCAGGCGACATGGAGACTCCGCTGTGGGAGGAGCGAGGCGTTTTCAGTCAGCTGCTCGTGTCCTTTTGTGCAGGTAGGAGAAGGGTAGTGCCTGGTGATCTCGAAGCTAATGCACTTCGGCTGATTTTGAGGAACCCTATGTGCCCTTTTGGGCTCCCTTGAGGAGTGCACTTGATGGCAGGTGCCGGGGCAAATCCAGTTCTGCATGCAGCATTAAGAGAAGGCTGCTGTTGTTCCCTTTCCCGAAGAATGAGCCGAGTGCGCGACCAACCCAAGTTCTAGCTGGTGACTTGCGGTGTGTTTGTGGGGATTCGCGGCTAAGCCAAGTGAAACCCTGATTCACTGAGCCAAAGACTTGGATGCTTCCACGACAATCGTGTTTCGCAGGTTGGTCGGGTCAGTCGGTTGGTCGGTCGGGCAGCGGGCATGGGGCTGCGGGCAGGAGACATCCCAGGCACCATCGGTTTGCGGTTAAATTGTTTATAGGAAGGGAGAGGATGTTTCGCGTGGAGTTGTAGGGCTGATGTGAGGCCGGCTTGGTAAGGATTGATATTCGGATTGGTGTTTCTCCTGGCGGCAACAGGGGCTCAGCAGTTGCGACCTAAAAGTGGATCGAACCCCAACAGTGGATATGCTGTGTGGCATCCTTCCGACCTTTGTTGCGTCAACTCCAGGGCTTGCTTCAAACAAATTGAATGCCCACAAAACATTTCTTTTTTGTTCTTTTTTCATTGGATTCGCTTTGATTAACCTCCCAAAGGGTACTCGCGGAAAATACTTACCGGACACGCCTGATGAGGACGTGAACGTGGTGTCCGACCCGGAGGCCATCAAGAGGTCCATGGTAGGGGCACCAAGCGAAGGGTGGAACTGGTTGCCTGGGAGGGGTTGTTGGTTCCTTTGGTTGGTTAGTTAGTTTGTTAGGTAGTTAGTTAGCTTGCTTGCTTACTTGTTTGTTTATTTGTTTGTTTGTTTGTTTGTTTGCTTGTTTGTTTGCTTGTTTGTTTGTTTGTTTGTTTGTTTGTTTGTTTGTTTGTTTGTTTGTTTGTTTGTTTGTTACTTAGTTAGTTAGTTTGTTAGGTAGTTAGTTAGCTTGCTTGCTTACTTGTTTGTTTGTTCGTTTGTTTGTTTGTTTGTTTGTTTGTTTGTTTGGTTGATAGTTAGTTAGGTAGTTAGTTAGTTAGTTAGTTAGTTAGGTAGTTGGTTATTTAGTTACTTAGTCACTGAGCTACTTAGTTGGTTAGTTAGTTAGTTAGTTAGTTAGTTAGTTAGTTAGTTAGTTAGTTAGTTAGGTAGGCACGTAGGTAGTTAGATAGGTAGTTAGTTAGTTAGTTAGTCAGTTAACTAGTTAATTAGTGAGTTAGTTAGTTAGTTAGTTAGTTAGTTAGTTAGTTAGTTAGTTAGTTACCCATTTAGTTAGTTAGCTAGTTAGTTAGCTTGCTTGTCTGTTAATTGTTAGTCAAGTAGTTTGTTGGTTCGTTCGAGCGTCCGTTGGTGCGTGAATTAGTTCAATTCGTTAGCTAGCTAGCTAGCTAGCTAGCTAGCTTCTTGCTTGCTCGCTGGCTCTTGCTTGCTTGCTTGCTTGCTTGCTTGCTTGCTTGCTTGCTTGCTGGCTGGCTGGCTGGCTGGCTGGCTGGCTTGCTTGCTTGCTTGCTTGCTTGCTTGCTTGTTTGTTTTTTTATTCAGTAGTTCATTTGTCTGTCGGTCCGCTAGTTAGTTAGTTAGTTAGTTAGTTAGTTAGTTGGTTAGTTAGTTAGTTAGTTAGTCAGCCAGCTGGCTGGCTGGCTAGCTAGCTAGTTAGTTCGTTCGTTCGTTTGTTGGTCAGTGAGTTGGCTACTTAGCTACTTGGTTACTGAGCTACTTGGTTACTTAGTTACTTTGTTGCCTTTGTTACTTAGGCAGGTAGGCAGGTAGGCAGGCAGGCAGCCAGGCAGGCAGGCAGGCAGGTAGGTGAGGTAGTCAAGGTAGGTTGATTGGTTGCTTTGTTGGGGAGTCATGAAGAGAAGAGCAGCAATTAAATCCAATAATTTCCTTGTTTATTCATGCTCTTCGAGCTGGATTTGCCTTGAGCGGGCTCATTCAAGCAACTTGAGTTGGTGCGAGCAAAGTCGTTTGGTTGCAAATACCCAGACTTCGCATCTTGACCAAGTTTTAGTTCTGGACAAGCGAAGCACGTTTGAGGTCCACCCGGACATCTTGGAGTACATCATGAGGGAAGTCTTGGACAAGGACTGCTGACCGTGGGGGTGTGTCTGTCGCTTGGACTGCCTTGCTGAGCAAGTTTGGTTGGTTTTTGGGCTTATTTTTGGCTCTCGATGCGTTCCAATCGGGGTGGCCTCCTTTTCGGGACTGGATCCCTTTACAAAGTGGCACAGAACGGCATCCCGATGGCTGCAAAGTCTTTTTGTATGAATCTCCCGCATTGTTTCAGTTCCCTGTGGCTTTGACGGATGGGCATTTGATCCATTGTTTTTCCCACTAGGCCCATGGCAAGAATAGATGTGGACCTTCTAGCAAAGGTAAACATCTAAACGCTTCGGCTCCACTGCACAGCCAGCATTTAGGCTTGTATAGCTGGAAAAAAAGGCGCGAGTTGATTGGCAAAGCAGGTGCTTGTGCCTACTTTGGAATTCAATCCTAGTGCTTTTATGAGTTCTCAGACTAAGGGGAATCCACGCACACTCAAAGAGTTGCCACAATTGGTGTCAATGCGGTCCATTGTTGCAGTAGTGCTCTTTGTCATCCAATTCGCCCATTGCTATGGGTTCGAATCATTTCTTCTTCATGTCAATCTCAGAGCCACTCCAAAGAACTTTCAGAAAAGACGAGCTTAGTTTGCCTAGGAAAGCATTAATGCAGTCTTGCCTCATGTGGCATGACTGAGGAGGTAGTCAGCACGTGTGATGCTCAAAGCGTCCAATGATACAACGAGCACTGGGTAAAATGCAAACACCAGGCCAGCCCAGCCAGACATCCAGACAGCCAGCCAGCCAGCCAGGCCAGACCGCCAAGAAAGCAACCAGCCCGCTCACTGACGCAAGCCACAACAGGAGTTTGGGGGAGCCTTGGGGTACCTCCAGTGGATTGGCTTTGGCCTGGAGCAAAGGGAGCGCCTCCGCCGGGCCCCAAAGATCAGACCGGAGTGTCTTGGGATTGTTGCGCTTCGAAGGGACACCAAGAGAACACCAATGTGGTTTTTGGGGCTCCTGGTTAAGGGATTTCAGGAAAAACACCCTTGTCTGAATTGATCAGGGGGTGGTGCCATTTTCAGCTGGGGATTGATCAAGAGCATTCTACGGCAAGTTGGTGACAGAACTGGTTGAAACAGTCCTGTTATGGACCCCCCCTTTCGAGGTTTAATCTCAGGAAGGATGTCTCAACTATCCCAAACTATCACTGCCCAAACGTGTTGAAACAAGTGGTTGGCCTCGCGTAGGCCGCAGCAGATGGTTTGGGGGGGGGGGTTGACCTATCAACCTCCCGCGTACCGTCGGAACATCGAGGGAGACTAGCACAAGAGTGGTAACCATGTGACGAGGCACTGAGAGCATTGGGAAGAAGGAACATGTGAGCCTGATCTACTTGGGTGCAAAACGCGGAAGCAAAGGATTCCCAAGCCACCTCATATTCATCCATCAGTTCGTTGAAGTTCAGCTTCTCCACTTCTGCCGGTCATCGTCAATGTGCAGAGAGCCATCAGACACATCAAATCTTGGCGGATTCCACGGCCCGACCAATGCGTATCTTGAAGTCTTGAGAGACCTGGAGCCATTTTCCGCGACATGAGTCGCCCAGCTTAATCTAATAGCATTGCGGAAGGAGTTCTCACTCGATGGTCGCTGAGCTTTGCGACAAGTTCTGACTCATATCCCTCTGCCCTTATGGTCAGGCGTACAAACAGGACCCCTGCTGCTCTCTTTGTGTAAATCAGAAGCGGTGCAGCTCTTTGACATCAGGGCGGCCAGAGTTTTCAAGGAGGATGTGGATGATCTTTGACCCCCTGCAAAATGTGAATGTTTGGATTTCAATCGGGCCAACTGTTCTGACAGTTGAAGGCTCCAATGCCAGCAAGAGCTGCCAGGTTGGCAGAAGACACCATGTCAGGGGGCCCAAGAACATCAACAAATGACTATGGCATCGACGGACATCCTTTGCAGGGGTGTCATTTTCCCTGTTCTTGGAATATCGCATCCCGCCTGGTAAACACGCGCTGCGATTTTGGCAAGGCGAGATCCTGGTGGAGTCCGAGTGAAGGCGCAGACCCTTCCCATGCCGCAACACAAACAGCATTGACATGGCGGTGACCTCGCATGTTTGGAGTTCCCCACATGTTTTTGGGGTTGCTCAATCGGGATCTTGGGCCACGGCAGGTCTACGGCTGGGATTTCTTGACCTGACAAAAGGGGTTACGACAAGCATGGGAACACGCTACCAAGTGCAAGTGGCATTCCCGGGCTCCGGTCTCATTGCATCCAAAATATGAGACGAGTAGTAAGATTGATAATGAGCGGCGGGCAATACTTCTACAAGCGGGTTCTTTTTCTGTACTCATGAGTAGCGCTCAGTTGGCCCCACAGTTGTGAAAGCGTTCCACTTTGCTTTGACAAGGTTTATACTGATTTGATTGTTACGCACCAGCGAGCCTGTGTTCTGAACCGCCAGCCAGGTCAAACTGGCCAGGGAAACTCGTTGTCAGTACTTACACCGCCGGGAAAGCAGGCGGTCGTGCTCACCATGAACATCGTCACGTGGATCATGTTTGTAGGATCGGACGTATCAGTTGGATTCCTCAGGCTGTGGATGCTACCTCTTTTGGTACTCTTTGGGCTCGCCTTTGATTGGGTGGCGTTGACCGCCATCCCCGAGAAGCAAGATGAGCTAGGTTGGGCGGATTCTGTGTCTCAATCGGCTTGCGGCCAAGTCACAGGCGCACGTGAGGCCTGAGAGGCTGGAATCTGATGTCCCGCTGCCCACCAAAACACAGCCAGCGTCGAAACCAGCCAGTTTCTTACAATCAAACTCTCGGACCCGATGGCATCTGCATTGTTTTTCATGGTGTGCTTTCATTGTCAGGTAGAAGCATTGGCTATTAGATGGCAATTTCAAAAGCTAAGGGACAAGGCGTCATGTGGTTCGGGTCATACATGGTGCTTTCCTTCCTGCCGACCGACCATTTTTTGCTCGCAATTGGAGGATGTCCGTACTTGAGCGTCTTCAATCTACCAATGCAAGGCATTTGCGGTGTATGTTTGAGAGGGTCAACTTGGGCCATTCACATGGGCCATTTGGCAGCATGACCCTTTCAAACCAAACGCAAGAAAAACAAATCGCTTTGTCCAAGAGCAGTTTCCTTTGAAATGTGTCTACTGTACTACTTAGATAACTTCTGTTTGTTTTGAGAAGGAGTCTGAGATATGAGTGAATTTGCCTGGTTGAAGCTTTTTGACCATCCGCAATTCTTGTCCGCAAGTTCGATTTCGCGCCCCCTAGAAGCGGTTTTTACCATCGACAGCGCAAGCCGCAAGCTTGGACACCACGCAGCTTTGTGGTGTCCTATGCAGACTGAAGTTTCCATGGTCAATTCGGGGAAACGGACTTGGGATATCGGATTCTCCCAAGCAAACTCCAACTTATTCTCCCATGTCCGAATTGAAAGCATATGGGTGTGGCTCAAAATTAAAGACCAAGGGTTACGCAGGTTTTGGTCCGTGTTTTCATTTACCAGGGTTGCAGTTTGGGGGTTACCCTGTTTTTGACCCACACCCATATATCAGTATTTGCGACTTGGTCGCGGCTAACTTTTGCGGGGCGCGGGGACATCTTGTGCAAATGCTGTGGGGCATGTGCCTCGATGGGATTGGGGCGGGCAAAAGGCTTGAGAAGTGCTCGCAAGATCTTTCAGCCAGATCTTCTGCTCATGCAGCATTCGTTTTTTTTTGTCCCCCTCCTGGGCAGTAAACCATATACGAACAGAAACGATGAGAGATAAACAAATTAACCAACATACATGTAGCAGGTGTGCATATATTCACACACATATTATATATACATACACATACGTGGTACTCGTACTCTCTCTAGCATATTGTTATTGTTTTATTTGTTCCCTCAAACAACGGGTCCAACTGGGTGCCCCTGATAGCAATTCTCAATGTGGGAAACACTTACAGTCTTTAACAAACAAGTTCAACTTTGTCCCCTGGATAAGATTGAAAGTCTCATATTCCACATTGCTTGTTCAGTTATTCTTCAATCAACAACTTGAAATCACTTGTTTTTTCGACAAACTGCAATACATTCAGTAGCATAATCATGCTTTTGTGTGATTAGAATCCAACTTTTGATCTTCGATCCAGGGAAACGAAGCTTGAAAGTTCAGGCACTGGGCAAAGTCTCCCAGGGCTTTGAGCAAACGGAGTCTTTCAACAGATTCCCTAGTGGTGCGAGTCCCAACACAGCTAAAACACGAAACCCAGATATCAACCCCCCAAATTGCAAACCTCAACATTTGGGTGTGCACCAGACAAATGCACCTTTCCGCCCACATTTGGGCTATGGGGACAGTTCCAAGCGCTTGGTTTGAATCAACCTGGAGGTTGTAAATCCTGGGTTCTTATCATATGAGCTGGACCAACAGGTCCCTAGTACTGACAAGTTTCAGTCAGGAATCCTGACTGAAGCTGGGGGGTCTTTTGGAGGAACCTGCGTCTGCTTCATATTTGCAGCTTGTTGAAGAGCTCTTGGCACAAAGATCGCCACGAATTTCTCAGAAGAAGATACAGAAGTGCTTAGTCGCTTAGTCGGCCGCTGGCCGACTCAGCTGGATCAGTCTTTTGGTTTGATGTCATTTGCCTTTCCATTCTTTTGTTTTCCCGAATCCGGTTTTTTTTACAGATTGCCAGCGTGGACCAAGGATCAAGCCTCTTTCTCCCCTGAAGAGAAAGCGTTTAGAAGTCTTTGGTGCATTTTGCTTGAATTTTAGGACTTTGACTTTTTGCCAACTAACGGGTTTTCCGTATTAAACCACCAAAAGTTCAACTTTCAGCAGGGCTTCGCAGATTTCGCAACCGAGAAGTTGCGCGTCTCTAAATCACCGCCTGACGCCGCCGCCCTGTCCAGAGCCGCGACACGCGAGCGCCAGAGCTCGGCTGCCCGTCGGAGATTCCGACTTGCCAAGCCCGACTTTGCGTATTCCTGTGCCTATGTATTCATATATATATATATATACATACATAGGTAATACATACATATACGCAACATACACATGTATTAGAAAGTATTCTCAATGGACCGTCTTTGCGTGTTCTGTTTGAACATTGAGTTTGCATTCGAAGAGAACACACATGTAGAGGCACCTTGTGCTTTGGTACTGAGAACTTGGAGGAAACCAGGATCAATAAAGGCTGTTTGGCTTACCCTTCGCAACCAATCTCCGAAACAGACATTTCGACTTGGCCCATACGGCATTTGCAGCGGCTAATGTAGGCTCATGCGCTAGACATTTGCATCAGACGAAAGTACAGGGGGGCATTGTACTTAGCAAGTGGGTCAATTTCCATGGTTATAATGCACTAGCCACTCACCTGACTTACCCGATCGCCCCTTTACCTGGGAGCCCCCTCTTGGCACGTCTCTGAAGGCGTGGATTCAGGTACGGATCCTCCATGTCGTGGTTTGGGGATCGGTAGGATTGGAGATTTCAGGCCTTCAAAACAAATGCTAAGATCCCACGCCATCAAATGGCGGAAGCTGGCTCAAGCAGGAAACCAGCTACGTTTTGAGCCCCGCTAGTCTTGAGACATGGCCAAATCAAGGAGTCCCTCAAATTTATTTATACTCCCAAAGCAAAAGGGGAGATGAGCCAGCTGCATGTGTATGCGTCCCAACAAGAATTTGGACCGGGGCCTCAAACTGGCATTCTTTCGTTCGAGTAGCCTTTTCGTGCAGAACATTTTCAGGCAAGCCAAGTGGAAGGTAAATGCAAGGGAAGCAAGGTAAAAGCAATCCTGAGGGCATTTGAGGCAATGCCCGAATCTGCGGACTGGCGCCTGCTCGAGGGCGCAACACGGCCGAAGTTCCAGAGCTTCATTTTATGCTCTGCGCATCCCAGCAACACCCTTGCCGAGGCCCCTCTGAGTCCCGATTCTGAAAACCTTTCATGACGAATCCCTCAGCTGAATGGTCGGGGGCGAGATTGCTTTCGGAGCTTTTTGTCGCAGGGGGGGATCCCAGTGAGGGTGCCGAGGGATTTTCCGATTCGCGTTTTGGCCGGATCCCTTGAGGCCGTGCCCAGATTTTTCATTTGAAGCCACAGCAAGGAGCTGGCGGGGCGCGGCAAGATGCGTAAAGTCTTGGCTCGGCCTTGAAGGGGGGCTTTGGCATATTTTGTTGGGAGGGTGCAAATGCAGTGACCCCGCAGACTGAGCAAAGAAAGGGTGAATGTTAGCATTTGTTCTTGTTTGGGAATCATCTAGATGGCTGCTGAATAGCCCTTTTTTGATCTCCGAGCTTTTCAAGGTGAACCAGGGCTGCCAATCTCAAGCCAAGCCAGAAGAAACCGTGCTGGATGGCCATCAGGAATAGCAACTGCATCAGGGTCTCAAATGATGCTGATTTTGATCAAAGCCAGCAATCAGATGTTGATTGGCCTTTGAAGTTACATGTGCCGCAACCAAAAGAAGCAGGGCCCACATGCCTTTTCCAAGCATCTGTGTTTTGTTCTTGCACGAGCTGCTCCCGGTGAACAGTCGCCCCCCTTTTGGCGCATGAAAGGCTGAGCAGCCGCGCTTGCAAGCAACGCAGTGGGGCGCAGTCGACTTGCAGAGAGGAACCACAGATGCCGTAGCACGGGGGGACGATGCATGTGAGAACATCCACAAAATGTCTTCGTTGAGATGCTAGGTCGCCCAGTAGTGCCGTTTCTCACCTTTTTTTTTGGGGGAGGGTTCCCCTACTAAAATAGACTACAGAAGAAGGGTATCCTTATTCTAACCTCTCCACTGGAGGACCTAGGATAGAACTATATCCCAGTCTGGTCCCTGTGGCACCTGCAACTCGAAAGCCTTACATGTGCCGCGTTTGCTCCACCTTATAGCGGAGAAAGTCTGTGGCCCCACCCTGAAAAGATCCAAAGGGAGGGTGCCAGAGCAAGTTTAGTTTTGGCCACTGGGGGAACTGGCGGAAACACCAGTCGATCCGCGAATCTGAATCGAAGCCTGCCGGTTTCCCACTGGCCTCCCCCGTGAAGTTCAGACCCCCTTTCGTTCGCAAGTGTGCTTTTGAGCGCCCACGGGTTGTCACGCCTTCGTAACTCCGTGGGAATTCGGCTCCCGGCGCCATGCCCGTGCCTCTCCGGTTGGGCTTGGATCAAGGACCAGGCCCACATGCTCTGATTGAGGGGGCTTGGCAGTTTAAGCACGACGCTGCCGACCATTTGGACGGCCCCCTTGGACCCATTTGGAAGTTTCGTGACTTTGTACTGAACCAACAGACTGTCAGAGCCCAGATCGCGGCCTTGCAGCGCAGCGAGGCACTAAACTGCATCTACAGAGTCCATAGAGATTTGAAGTTCCCAACTCGGGCACTGAAGCTAAAGGGGCTCCCGAAACAGTGCCCCAGCCGATGCTTTCCCTTGATTCACACCCGCCGGAAGAGCGAAGCGGATCATGTCGCCTCAGCGCGTGGCAAAACGGAGGGATGAACTCGCGGGAAGTCGTTTCAACTCGCCACTAGT